CATCTGTTCAGGGGTCGGAGGTAGAAACTATAAAAGGTCAGCAGATGAGTTGGTTTCAGATAACAAATGTCCTGGGTGAACGTGAGCAGGAGGGTGCTGTCCGTGTGGAGGGAGGGGCTGCTTTAGTTAAGGTGTTTAGGGGAGACCCCTCAGGAGGGGCGTTTTATCTCCGAGCAAGGTGACCCCAGAAGCACAGCCAGGCCTGGAGGTGGGACCTGGTGGGACCTGGCTTGCCCTGTTTGAGGGACAGAAGGAAGACACATATGGCTCGAACAAAGCAAGGTTTTGTTTGATGGTTTTTTATTCCTGCTTCCCAGGCGGGAAAGGGGAAGTTTCTAAAGTGAAGTCTGGTGAGTCTGGGTGGACAGATGCGGAGTCCATGGGCTGAAACTGGGCGAGAAGATACGTATTTGTTTCTATTTGTGTGGGCTGCCAGTGCGTGGGTTTCTGGGGAAGGGGTCTCCCCGAGTCCGTATCCTTTGCTGTGCAGAGCTCCCCACAGCCTGGAGGGTTTGGAGCTCACAGGGAACGGCCAGGGCTGCCGCCTCCACGGTCACTCAGCTCTGACCCCTTGCCGAGGGCTGTGGGTTTCCAGAACGGTGTTCCAGTGTTGGTACGCGTTGGGCTGAGGGGCTGTGGCCCCATGAGTGGCTCATGCTCCTCCTCCATCCTCAGTGACTGTCCCCCGACATTGTCCCCCGACTGCTTGGCTCTTCCTGAAATTTGTGGGGCCCCTTTGCCTGGCGTGAAGCCCCACAAGCAATGGGGCAGGAACAGCGTCGCTGCTGCCGCTGACCCGAGCGTCCCGGCCTGGTTTCCTGGCTTCGCTGATGGTGTCTGTACCCCAAGGTTTCTGTCTCAAGTCCATACCAGGTGACAAGCCTCGCCTGCCCCAGCCTGGCTGCCTCATGTGTCCTCCCTGCTGAACAGCGCCAAGGTGCTTTCCTGAGTATCCGTGCAGTCACCGGTCCAGGGACAAACAATGCCATTGGTGGCTCTGTCTGGCTAGGTCCTGGGATTGTCTCTTCAGGCTTGACTTCCGGCGCTTCTACTGGCACCAGACTGGATTTTTATTAGACGAACAAGAATGAGTTTATTCCTGGAAGCAGGGACAGGTGTGTCCTGAGGCTCTGGCTCCCATGGATCCGGTGGGGCCCTCGTAAGAGGCGTTTCCAGACATCCCCACCCTGGTTGCAGGACAGAAGCCACTGAGCGAAAGGCTGGGGCTTGGAGTCAGAAGCCCTTCCTCACCAGCAGGAGTAGGGGAGGCCTAGAGGAGCCCCGTGAACTGCCTGATGCCGCCTGGTTGCTGTTACCATCCATGGTTTGAACAACTCCCAGATCCGAGATCTGCATCCTGACTTGGAGTGGGCCTAGGTCCTCCCTGAGTGGTAGCAGGCCCTCTGGAGCGGGTCCCTGCGGTGGGACAGGGAAGGACGTCTGTGTTGGCTCATGGCCCCCTTGGCCCAACCCCTCCTCCAGTGAGACAGGCGGCCTGGGACCCAGTGGTGCCTGAAGCACCCGTCTGAGTCCTGCCCAGCCACCTTGGGAGCTGCTCTGCCAGGTTCATGGGGGCTTGGGTGTGGGTCGTCTGTGTGGGGACAGTGCTTAGAACAGTGCATGGCAGGGTGTCAGTGCCCAACAGCATTTAATCATTGACCTTTGAGCAAGTGATTTACCTCCTTGCTTGGATTTTCCTGCCACCAGCGTTACTTAGATTAAATGAGGTGCTCAGCACCGTGCCTGGCACACGGTTTTATTGTTCAGTTACTGAGACAGTCTGCTGGCCTCGCGGCATGAAACGTGCCTCCTGCGGGCTTCTCAGTGCTGGCGAGTCTGGCTGTGTGTCCGGAGCCTGCTGGAGCCTTCCCAGCCCGTGGCGTGGTCCCCACCCTGCCCTGCGGAGGGTCAGGCCCCACGCCGGGAGTCCGGGCGCTGGGTGGAACAAGGTGCAGACTCTCGGAGGGTTCCCGGCGAGGCGCCTCCCCGGGGCCTGAGCTCGGATTTTTCTAGCCCAGAAGGAGCAGCAGCTGTCGGAAGCTGTTTTAATCACCGCCCTCACAGTCCACCCGCCCTCTGCTGTCCTTGCCGACCCTCCAGCTCCCTCCCCCAGAGTCTCTCTGGGCATATCTCGGGGTCTCACAGACCCACCGTTACTGCCCTTGTCGCGCTTTGCTGCCCCTGTTCAGAAGTGGGGAGAGCTGCTCCCAGCCCCGACCCCGGCGCCGACCTCTCAGAGTCAGATAGCGTCCCAGTAAACAAAGCCCCAGACGGTCGCCCAGGGCCCTCTCTCCGTCTCTGGCTTTTCCATCTCGACCCCGGGGCCCTCGTCAGTCCAGTCCGCTGGAAGCTTGCCTCGCCCAGAAGCCCCCTCCCCCGCCCTCGATCCCGCCCGCCCGTCGGATGGATTGTGCTTGCTGTTGTCAGAGCTGCCCCGTGGCTGTACCAGGGCGGGTGGGGGCCGTTTTCAGTCTGGCAGGCCGGAGAGAGCCCCCATGATGCCCCTCTGACTCCCCCTTATCCTTCAGTTTTCCCACAGTCACCCATTGGGCCGGCGTGAGGATGCCACACTGTGTAGACAGACAGAACCAAGTGTGCTGGCAGTCAGAGCTGCCTCTGCTGTAAACCCAGAAGCTAAGCTGTGTCAGAATCACCCAGGGCAGACGCCAGGGCTGCAGAGAAGAACCCCAGTGCTCTCCCCACCTCTGTGGCCCACTCAGGACGGTCAGGGGAGGCGACAGGCGTCCCTGGGGCCTGCCGTCGCCTCCTGGGACGAGGCTTGGCTGCGGCGCCCGGGAGGGAAAGCGGGCCTGTGCAGCATCCACAGACCCCCTCTGTGTGAGCACTGTGCCTCCTTGTGAGGCTTCCCGGCCCACACATCTGCCGCCTGCACACAACAGGGCCGTGTTCCTGCCGGGAGGGACCCTGTTCTTGCAGCCAGTGGGGGGAGGGGTGGGGGGAGGCCTGGTGCCCAGGCAGCGGTGCCGTGTGCCTGAGTCACCACGTCTCACTGGGTTCCCGGAGCCTACCTCTCTGCTTTTGAGAACCTCCCATGTGCCCGGCCCCGTAGCACAGGGGCAGAGCCTCTTCCCTCCTGGCGTTGACGTGGGCTGGGGCTGGGGGGGGGTGACAGACAGGAAGACACCGTTGTCGTCGTCGGGGGTGCTGAGCACAAGGAGAAGCATCAGTCAGGGAGGTTTAAATAGGGTGGCCAGGAGGGTGATAGGCTAGCAGAGACCCCAGAGGGGAGGGGCAGGTGCTCTCTCTGGAGGTCTGGTGCGCAGCCGGAAGAGGGCGCTCGGTTTACATTTGGACCAATGATGAAGTGAAAGCTTGTGTGCCTAGGGGCCTGCGGGGAAGACTGGGGGGCGGGAATGCTTAACCCTGGGCCCCAGCGCTTCCCTCCCTCCCTTCAGGGTGTGTCCCTGCTCCCGTTCCCAGCTGTGTGCAGGCCCTGGGGGAGGGCAGGGAGGGCTGCTCTCCAGGAGGGAGACGTGAGCACACCCTTCCTGGCGTCTGCCCTGGGACTGCAGTTTGCATCTTTGCGTTCCCAGCCTCCTGGGCAGCCTGCTTTGCATGTGTGGCTTCGGCTCTGCTCTATTCTTGCCTGGGACCTTCTGGACCAGGTGGCGGTTGTCAAAAGAGCCAGCTCAGGTGTCAGGGGGGCTGGCGGATGGGGTTACACACCCCCGGAGACAGGCGCTCCCTGCTTATGAGCTGTTGCTGCTTGCTGCTGGGAGCCACGGCCCTCACCCCCTCTCCCTTGCACTGCGGCGTCCGCTGTACTGGAGGGAGGTGCCTGGGGGCTGTATAGCAGGGTCGTTAGGGACACGGAGCGTGGAGTCAGCCAGACCTTTTGCCTTTATGAGCTGTACAGACAAGATACCTGAACTCCCTGAGCCTCAGTTTCCTCATCAGGAAAGTGGGCTCGTGATGAGTTGCCAAGGTTGTTACTGGGAGCCTGCTCCCTGTGCCGGGAGCTGCTGGTTGTTGATCATCATCCTCATCGTCACTACCATGGGCAGAGTTCTGCCGGGTGGGGTGGGGGCCCAGCTTCTCTCAGTGATGCTTGTTGAATGAAGACGGGCGTGTGGCCTCAGGGAGGCCATGCTGGCAGAGGGTCGGCAAACACAGAACAGATGGGTGCGGGGAACCTTCCGCATCTGGCTCGCTGAGGCTTCGAGAGTAAGAGAAGCCAGAGCCTGTCTGCGTTTCTCTCAGGTCCCTGGTACAGCGAGGCCAGGCTGGGAGAGCGGCCTTGATGCCAGGACAGTGGCCCCCGGGGCCTGGTGTGCACCCTGCAGCCCCGCGCCAGGAATGGCCACAATGGTCGCTGTGTGTGAAAGGAGGTCAGCCCCGAGCTGGAGTGGGAGGGAGGGGCCCGGCCCCGCCCCCAGCCCCATCGGCTCCTAGGTCTGCGGGGCGGAGCAGAAAGCCCCGCCGGCTCCCAGGGGGTTGCTTTTCTTACGGAGAAAGCGCTCAGCCTTGCAGAGCAGGCCCCCTGTCAGTTCACAGTAGACTGTGGATGAGCGAAGTGGCCTCCGTGCCCGGCAGGGATAGTTACTGTTGTCCCCGAGCCAGAGGTGGAGAGCACAGTGGCTTCTGGGGTAAAAAGGAAAAGCCCCCGCTGGCCCACGGGCTCCCTCTCCGCCCTGTCCCCTCCTGCCCCACCGCTGCTGGGCGGGCTGTTGACAAGCCTGCACAGGGCCGGGCTGCAGGGTGAGCGCACAGCACCCTGAACCCTTGCCCTGCGCAGCCAGCTCCCCGGACGGCCTGGGCGAAGGGCAGTGTGGGCCCTGGTGCCGGAGCTGGGGGAGACTTGGGAGCACCGGCCGGCCTGGGGGGTCTGCATTGGTCGGGGACCCTGTCCTGTCCCTCCCGCTAACGGCACCAGCAGCTCTTCTCAGTCCACAAGCACCGAGGCCCTTAGCTCAGGGTGGGGCGGGGTAGGTGGACATGTAGTGGCTGTGAGGGCCTTGTCTCTCTGGGCTGTGCCCCACGGCAAAGTGGGGGTGATGTGTGTCTCTTGGGGGAGTCCACAGCCTGTGAGGGCTCGGGTCACGGCAGCCCCTTTGCACCTGCCATTAACCTGCAGGAAGAGCCAGTCCTGTCTGTGTGTCAGCCTTTCCCCCTTTGGTGGGGTCTCTCCCAGGAAGGCTGCCGGCTGGGTTTCTGACCTCTGCCTCCTCTGTTCCTCCCAGGCCATCAGCATCAGCAAAGCCATCAACACCCAGGAGGCCCCCGTGAAGGAGAAGCATGCCCGGCGTATCCTCCTGCCCCCGTCCGTCTGGGCCCCAGGAGCAGGGGGAGTGGGTGGAGGACGTGGGGAAAATGAATGTGGGGAGCAGTGGGCACCGCAGGTGGCCTGATGAGGTGTGTCTCCTGTGGCCTTGGGCCAGCCTTACTCACCTCCTTCCAGACTCCAAGTCCCATCTCGGGAAGGCCACCTATTGTCTTAGGCTCTTGGGCCACCTAAATCCGTGGCGGTAACCTTGGCCTTTCTCTTACTTGGCCAAGAACCATGGCTCTTGGCGAACTGGGGCCCTCCTTCCCTGTCCGCCTCTGCAGTCAGTCACTTGTCCAGCTGTACCTGCTGAGCACCCCGGCCCTCCCCCCACTTGAGTCTCTGCTGCCTGCACTTGGCCTTGACCTGGTAGGCATCATTCTGGGCACCCACCATGAGAAGGGGGCCTTCACCTTCTGGTCCTATGCCATCGGTCTGCCACTTCCCAGCAGCTCCATCCTCAGCTGGAAGTTCTGCCACGTCCTCCACAAGGTCCTCCGAGATGGGCACCCCAATGTGAGTAGCCGCTGCCCACTGCTCTCCAAAGGGGCAGGTCTCCTGTTGCAATGACTCCATGCCTCCTGGGCCCAGGCCCTGCGCGCTCGGCGTCGCAGCTAGTGCAGGCACAGGTGTGTTGGGGCCGGGACCCTTCATCCTTGCCCGCCGTCTCCCCCTCCGTGCAGGTGCTGCATGACTGCCAGCGGTATCGGAGCAACATCCGGGAGATTGGAGACCTGTGGGTAGGTGCGGGGAGCCGGTGCGGGGAGCGGGCACGTGGCCCGAGTGCCTCGCAGGTGGCACTGCCCAGAAAGTCCTGCTTGGAGTTTGGGCCCCCAGCACATGGGCTGAGGGAGTGGAGCACCTGGGATGGGTGTCCTCTGCCTTTCTCTCAGCAAGTTAGAGATGTTATGTGGGGCCACGGCTCGGGGAGGTGAGCATCAGTAAAAGAAATTACAGCCTGGCTTTTAGCGCCTGGCACCAGAAGTTCCGAACGTGTCACTAGTGGGCCCTCTGGCTCCAGAAATGACTCGCCCCTTGGCTGCTGTGAGTTGGGGAGTGTGGCAGTACTCTACTCTGTCCGGCTGAGGGAGGGGTGCAGACTCCCAGCCCCCCAGACCGGCTGCCTTTGAGTCTCAGGGTTAGAAACCTGCGTTTTCTGCAAGGTCCCCAGAAGATTCTCATTCACAGAGCCGCGGGGCTCGTGTGCTAGATCCACTCCGAGACCGTCAGGAATTAGGCTACCCCTTGGGTGGAGGGGAGTGCCTCTGGCCTTTTTTGTCCCCTGGGAGCATTGCTGAGGCCTGTCAGCCAGGCGGGGTCAGGTGGCTTCTGGGAACTGACCGGCCTGTGGAGAGGAGGCCCCTTGAAGGATGGAAAACGGCATCCTTGGTGCCATTTGCAGACGCAGGGCCAGCTGGCGTGGCCGCAGGGGACGTGGTGTTTGGAGGTGACAGAGGAGGCAGCTGGGAGGATGTGTACACGCGCCCGTTGGAACGTGCCTCCCCGGCCACCACCAGCATTTTAATCAAGTATCCCAACTCAGAGCTGGCCTCTTGCCCCGGACAAAGAGCTCTCTTGTCACAAGAGTTTCTTTGGCAAGAATGATAAGAAGAGAGAGTGATAGGCAGAGAGGGGGTTGGCCGCCTCTGGCGGGTCATGCAGTGTTTGTTGAGTGAATAAGTGACAGTGTGGGTGGGTGAGGGAATGATACCCGCCTCGCGTCTCAGGCTCAGCTTCCTTGCTTGCCCTGTGGGATTCCCGAGTCCTTACCCGGGGCCCTGTCTCCGCAGGGGCATTTGCATGACCGATACGGACAGCTGGTGAATGTTTACACCAAACTCTTGCTGACCAAGATCTCCTTCCACCTTAAGGTAGTTTCCTCAGAGAGTCGTGGGGCTGCAGGGACCAGGGCTCTTCCCTCCGTGATGTCCTAGGACATAGAGGGAGGGTGGGCTCTGTCCTGACCCAACCTGACCCCGGAGGAGACTCAGGACAGGCCGGTGGGAAAGTCAAGGCCTTGACACGTTCCCGCGGGCTTGGAGGTGGTCTCAGCCCTGCCCTTGGCTCGGGGCGGCCTCTGGCTCCGGCTGGACACCCTGTCCCCTCTCCCCTGGTCTCTGCAGTTGCTGCAGCCCCTTCTCAGCTGGCACCCGGGGCAGATGGCGGCTCCACAGGCGAGGGGGCTCCTCCGCCCCCTTTCCCTCCCTCAAAAGCTAGAATTGGTTCCGGGCCAGGGCTGAGAGGGGCCACGGTTGAGTGGGGGTGTCCTCTCCGCAGCACCCCCAGTTTCCTGCGGGCCTGGAGGTGACAGACGAGGTGTTGGAGAAGGCCGCTGGGACTGACGTCAACAACATGTGAGTCCTCCCCTGAGTTCCCCTTCTCTTCCTGCAGTGGCCCTCACCCAGCTTCCCTGGGGGCTGTGCTCGGTCTGGGGCTGAAGGTCATGTTCAGGAGATGAGGCCAAAGCTAAGGATTGGGGTGTGCCTGGAACTGGGCATTTTTGGCTGATGGACTGTTGTATCTGCAAAGACGTGTTGATGAACTTGCTCCCTCTCTGACCTGGGGCGTCTTGTGGGGGCACGCCCCACACCCCTGTGGCTTAGCCCTCCTCTGCCCACCCCCCTCTGTAGCTTCCAGCTCACCGTGGAGATGTTTGATTACATGGACTGCGAGCTGAAGCTCTCTGAATCAGGTGAGTAGCTGAGGATGTGATCTGGGGTCTGATTGTGAGTCCTTAGGGCCCGGGATTGGGACAAGAGGGACATAGACCTGCCACCCCTAGTGGCCAGCCTGACTTACCACTCTTAAATGCACCTGCCCCCTGAGGTCCACGCCCCTGCCAAGAGCAGGTCTTGAGGCCTCCAGGTGCCCTCAAAGCTGGGGAAGAGAGGCCTTTACTGCCCCTGCAGGACGCCAGGCCCCAGCTGGGTTTGCCCAGGGCACGGTCTTGGCCATTTCTTACATTGAATAAACCCACTCCCTTGGCCTCAAGGCAGGGAGGATGGGGAAGGGGGCACCAGAAGCCTCCTTTCCAGGTTCGCAACCCGAGTTCCCACCGACCTTGGCGTCTGCAGATCCTGCCCCGTGACAGTTGGTTTGGGCCATCTGGCCCATTCTCTGCTGTAAAAAGGACTCTGAGTCACGTCGGATTTCCCAGCCCAGGAACCCAGCAGCCGCTGGACAGGAAGTGTCAGGGGGCTCGCCCTCCCCAGGCTGCAGAGGTGATTGTTCTAAGTGGCAGCTTCATAACAACTTGTGGGTGACTCAGCGCTCCCCGCAGTGGGGTGAGAAGCTAATGCCTTTTTAAGGGGAAACCGGGGGTTAGAAAGAGGTGGGCCTGGGCACCTCCTGGCGTTCCGGTGTCTAGACTCCTGAGGCCGGGCAAGTCTGGGGGCATCTGAACCTCTCACGCCCAGGAGGGCCAGCCGAGGACCTGACCCGGGGAGTGGAGGGCAGCTGCCCTGCAGAACTGCGCCTCTCCCAGTGGGGAGGGGAGGAAGCCCAAGGCGGGCGCCCCCACCCCGCTTGCTGGCTCCTCCCTAAGAAACGGCGCAGGGGCCGGAGGGCGTTCCCCCAACAGCCAAACGTGGGAAATGTCCTGACGCCCCTCAGTGGAGAAATGGCTACGTTGTGTTGAAAGCCCAAATAGTGTTTTACGTGTGTTTTACGTTTCTACAAGGAAAGTGTACTTGACATGACATGTCATTAGGAATTTAGTTTTAAGCAGGTGAGGGGCAGCATGTAGTGCCTTGCTCCTCGTCCCTTCCCTCCTGGCGTCTCGTGTTGCTGGAGGTGGGCGGATGGTCCCACCCCGGGCAGAGCAAGAGCAGGGCCCTGGCTTGGCGCCTGCCCATCCAGAACCTGTCCCGTGTGGGCCGCCCTGGGGGCCTCCTCATGGTCATTTCTCTCCCTGCCCCAGAGAGGAGGCCGGCTGGGGCAGCAGAATGTCTGTCCCTTTCCCTTCTGCTTGGTCCATTGGATGAAAGGCTGATTCTCAGGGGCAGGGAAGACTGACCCCTGGGTGCAGGTGAGGTTTTGAGGTCACCTGGGGTTTGCAGAGCCGTGTCCTGAGCTGTGAGCCTGTTTTCCACGTCTGCAGGATGAGGCCTTGGGGCTGCATGGCCTCAGGCCTCCTTACCTCCCAAAGGTTCAGAGTGAGCTGGAGGCCCGTGGGTACAGGCCCCACGAAGTCACCCTGTCCCTCCAGCTCCTAGTCCTGGGCTCCCCCCCGGAGGCTCTCGGGACACCCCCACCGAGCTGAGCTAGATTCTACTTGCTGCCCCCTTGCTGTCACCCTAGTTGGTGGGAGCGCTGGGCCTGAGTTCTAGGCAGCTTCAGTGCACAGAGTCTGTCCTAGCCTAGGAGAGCCCGTCGGTGTCCGCAGGCCTGAGGTAGAGCTCCGCTGCCTGGCCAGGAGCTGTAACGTCCGTTCCCCAGGCCATCGCCCCATCTTCGCATCCCAGGGTTGCTGTGACAGTGCCATGAGATGCCACTGTCCTCACCACGGCCATCATTACAGTTCTGGCCAGGGTGGGCTCTGCACCTGCACCTCCCTGGCTCCCCAGCTCAGGCTGCTCCTCCTGTCCCTCTTTATTGCAGTTTTCCGGCAGCTCAACACAGCCATCGCGGTGTCCCAGATGTCCTCAGGCCAGTGCCGCCTGGCCCCCCTCATCCAGGTCATCCAGGACTGCAGCCACCTCTACCACTACACGGTCAAGCTCATGTTCAAGCTGCACTCCTGTGAGTACCCCCCAGACCCCCTGCCTCGGGCCCTGAGGGTCAGCCGAAGCCCCAGAGGGCTGTGTTGATAGACACACAGGAATGAAACCAAGATATCTTTATTTATTAATTAAATATAGCAGTAATAAACTCCATTATCCATTAACATAAAAACATTCTTCTTATGAAAAATCACTGTTTTCCAAAACAGAGATACAGTAAGAGTCGCATAGTCTCACGTGTTTGCTGTTCTCTTTAACGTCTGGCCTAGGAGGAGGCAGTGTTCGGACAGGCACGGGCACGTGGCGTCTCCTTTGTGTTGAGGAAGGGTCTGGGCCCAGCAGACCCTCGGAAAGGGCTCGTCCCAGACTTGCTTCGAGACCCACTGGCCCGGGGTGTGTGAGCTGTTCCAGTGTCAGCCCCAGGCACACGAGTGTGGGTGCACCTTGAAGGTGCAGCAGAGTCGGTCATGAGTGAGCTGTGCGAGCTGTGGTCACGGTTCCTTCTCTCGCTCAGCAGAGAGCTGACCCCCACAGGGGTCTCCTCTGGCCCTCCCGATGGTGGGCAGGACCTGGCCAGGTGGCAGGTGACCTCTCTAATCTATGGTGGTTTCTGGAACCTGGAGGAACGGGGAAGGGAAAGAGAGGCAGTGGATCTGAAGTCTTCTTAGCCACAGAGCAGTGAGACCTTACAGTTAAACCTTACTGCCCCCAGGTCTCCCTGCGGACACTCTGCAAGGTCACAGGGACCGGTTCCATGAGCAGTTCCACAGGTACCAGCCTTGGTGGGGCTGAGGATAGCAGGGAAGAGGCGCTGTGGCTCTCAGCCGTGTGCGCTGGGGACGCCCGCTGGGGCCTGGCTCCTCTGACCCACGTCCCTCCCCTCCCACCTTCCCGGCAGTCTCAGAAACTTCTTCCGCAGAGCCTCTGACATGCTCTACTTCAAGCGACTCATTCAGATCCCCCGGCTGCCCGAGGTACTGGCGCCCTCCAGAGGCCGCTGCTGCGCTGCAGCCCTGGTGCCTGCCCTGGGCTGTGTGCGCTTGGAGGACCCTGGGCAGCTGGCGGTGCCCCACGTGGGCTGTGGGGTTGGCAGAGGGAGGGCTCCCTGGCAGGGTGGGGCTGCTGAGCACCTTCCACCCACTGCCCCCGCAGGGACCTCCCAACTTCCTGCGGGCATCGGCGCTGGCGGAGCACATCAAGCCGGTGGTGGTGATCCCAGAGGAGGCCCCAGAGGACGAGGAGCCTGAGAACCTCATTGAGATTAGCACGGGTCCCCCAGCTGGGGAGCCAGCGGTGAGCTGCCCCTTGCTGAGGAGGGGTGCTGGGGGGGTCACGGTCACTGGGCTGTCTCCCTCTCTCTCCTGGCCAGGAGGACCGGGGGAGTTGGGGGCAGAGGTCACCGTGCTTTGCTGTGGCAGGTGGTGGCCGACCTCTTCGAGCAGACGTTTGGACCCCCCAATGGCTCCATGAAGGATGACAGGTGAGAGGGCCTGGGGGACTGAAATAGCCTCCACGAGAACTAGAGGTGCCCAAATCCCAAGGGGCCACTGATGAGACCAGTTGCTGTGCCTGGGTCTCCTGACTGTCCTGGTTGACAGAACTTGAACGCCAGGACTCTGTGGGCCTGGGAAAAGGGTTTTCCTGACCTCTGTCCCCAGGGACCTTCAGATTGAGACCTTGAAGAGGGAGGTGGACTCGCTTCGCGCGGAACTGGACAAGATCAAGCTGGAGGTGAGGGGCGCGGCCGAGGGGAGCTGGACCCTGCGGCTGCCCCGCCCGCGGGACCCACGCTCCTCCTGCCTCCCCAGGCCCAGCGGTACATCTCGCAGTTGAAGGGCCAGGTGAACACGCTG